GGCGCCGAAAAAAGTGACTTGCGATCGTTTTTCACACTTAATGACATTATAGCATCCCCGTGGTCACATGATCAAAATTCAGATGCTTAGCAACTGGTTCATACTTGTGACGGTTGCAGTGTCCCCAGGGTCATGTGATCGCCTTTTTATAACCACCTGACAAAGTCAATGGGGAAGCCAGATCCACTTAACAACCGTGTAACTAACTTAACAACTGCAGTGATTCATTTAACCACGGTGGCAAGAAAGGTTGTAAAGTGGGGCAAAATTCACTTAACACATGTCTCACTTAGCAGCAGAAATTTTGGGCTCAACTATGGTCGTAAGTTGAGGATTGCCTATATTTTCCCCATGATCTCTCTCCTCAGTTCAAATTTGTGCTTGTACTAATTGAAGTGGGAGCCTAGGAAATTCTACTATGTCTACTTGAAACAATTGTGTTAAAATATTACTGAGATGTAATAAATCAAAAGTCACACTAACATTCTAACTGATGGTGCTATCACATCCTGTTTCTGAGGTAGTACTTTGTTGTTCCCCTTTCACAAAGCAGAGCCTAAGTCAAATATTTTGTCACCCATCAAGTCTTCATCCTTGCAGGTACTTCTATGTAAACAACGTGAAGTCCTTCCCACAGAATTTTCCTGCAAGTCAGAAATTCTTTAAAATCCCCAGATTTTTCTGAGAAGAGACTTAAAAGAACCCATTGTGGGAAATACCTTAAGCTGTGTGCTAATGGCTCATCAGAAATAACTCAGGAGTTCATACTGAAAGTAGCTGAACTGATCATGTTTCCTTCTATTGCTGAAGAGCCATGTCTGAATGCACTCAAGTAATGAATGTGGCATTGATAAGAATAGTATTGTTTTTCATGGGCTTCCCTGCCGGTTTCTATGGGGACAAAGACGCATTTCCCGTTTGAGTGCTATTTGCTGCCCTCTGATTGCACTTTTGTGGTTTCATTCACCAGTAATGGGAAAGCATTCATAGACAGAATCACTTCCCCTTTTTAAATAGCAATGATTCAGGCTTGATTGTTTTCTTAAGCATTATACTAATGCAGGGCTCTATCAGTGATCTGATAAATGCATAATGCTGTCTTTCTAAGCGTCTCCATTTTCTGAATTGAAATGGTACACTGTAATTACGCTGGCCTTGGGAAGAAGCTTTGCGTTATATAGTAAGTTTTATAAGGCAGGTCTTCTCTCCCGTGAAAGCCCATATTTATCAAATTTTAATGCTGTCATTCCCATAGCTAGAGTTGGAACAGGAAGACACGAGCAGTTCCTGGAAGTCCAGTTAGAGAATTTGTGGTGGCAATAACTAGCTACTTGAAGGGTTGTGTCAGCTCAGCTTATACCGTAAGTTTGACAATTACTGGCAGTGGGGGCTGCTATACATTTTAACTGTATTAACTCTTGATGGCATTTGTCTAACCTGGAAGTTTGGCACAGCTTCTCCAGTTCTTTGCACACCATACATCATTTGGAGAAAGGAGTGAGCTTGCATTTCTTGACAAGCCCTTCCTGACAAGGGCTGCAGGGATGGGAGATCTCCTGGGAATTCAGGTGCCTTGGGCCAGACTTGGGAAGTTGAAAACGTCTCCTGAGAAAAGACAATGGCCAAACCCCGCTAAGGAAAAGGCATGGATGCCGTTGCCAGGAATCCAGCTTGATAGGAGGCTGTCTTCATCTTTTCAAGTTAGCAGTGCCCCTTGGCATAAGTAGAGGACATGGGGAGAGACGAGGACCAATCTGTTTACAGTAACTGGCTTTTGGAGAAGAATCTTATTCTTTCCCCCCTTTTTTTTCCTCTTTCTCAAAAGTTGGGTAAATGTCATCTTGTTGCATACCTATTATGAGAAGGTCAAACAAACCAACACTCTGGATTGTCGCCATTAGTTCTGTCTGCATGGTGTACCTTTTAGCAACAATTACCCTCAATTAATGCAAGGCTTGCTTGAGGCAGGTCTCTTTTCTTTTCTGGAAACGTGTTTGTTATTATTTTTAATAATGGATGGAGTGTGTGTGTGTCGGGGGGGGGAGGGAAACTGTATGTGTGTAACACAGATGTTTATCCTTGGTGTATTTGCTTCGGTCTCATCCATTCAGCAGGATGAGAACATGGCTACTGCTCCTTTGCTTGATCCTGCTGGAGATTACAGTAGAACAAGTGGATTAATGCCAGCTGTTGTTCAGTGGTCTAGTTTTAAACAATCTGCTCTCTTCTGAGTGCAGGTCCTTGATTCTTAAATACAGGAGATGATTGCATTGTGTTTTTTTTCCCTGTTTTATTTTGCTGGTCCAAATCCAGTTCAAAGGTAGTAGCTATTCCAGTGTGCATTGTTGAAAGAGGCAGGAATGTAACAAAGGAGCACGTTCTCGTTCATCAACTCCCACAGTATGTTTGGCATCAGATATCTTGGAGGAGAGGGAAAAGCTGAGAAAAGAGGGAGGGAGCGACATTCAGCAGGATTTTATATCAGAGAATAAAATCAGAAGAATGTAGATGCCCGGGAAGTTCTTTTTAAAGGTAACCAAGGATAAAACAACAAGGGAGAGACTGACCTGCACAGCATGTTTCTGCCATTCTTTCCAGGCCTTTTTACCAGTGGGCACCTTAGGAAATATCTGAATTTTGTTCTGGGTAGTTGAACACATTGCCCTTCACTCACTGGGTTTTTTTGCTCCCTTCCTCTATTCCGTGTGTGTGTGTATGTGTACATACATTGTGAAGGGCAGAGCAAGCTGTGTACAGGTAGTCCTCCACTTAAGACCACAACTGAGCCCAGCATTTCTGTGGCTAAGTGAAACATTGGTTAAGTGAGTTTTGCCCCATTTTACGACTTTTCTTGCAACACTGCAAGTTGGTAAATTAAACAGTTGTTAAGTGAAACTGGTTTCCCCATTGACTTTGCTTGTTAGAAGGTCACAAAAGGTGATCACATGTCCCCCTGGACACTGCAACTGTCATAAATATGCCAAGCATCTGAATTTTGATCATGTGACCGTGGGGATGCTCCGATGGTTGTAAGTGTGAGAAAACAGTCATAAGTCACTTTTTTCAGTGAAGTTGTAACTTTGAACAGTCATTAAATGAACTGTTGTACGTAAAATTGGTGTTTTTTGGGGGGGGAAAGTTTTTCTCTGTAGCCCCAAGATGGATGTGGTCTGTTTTCCAACTCACTTTTATTTTTTGTTGATTTTTCCCACCATGCAAAATTTGGTCCTTTCCTGATCAATTCTTTCTGATGGATTGACAGGATTCTAAGCCCCTTTACCTGATTTCTTTCTGACAATCCGTTCAGGAGAAGGGGGGGGGAATAGTGTGCTGTGGTTTCTGGTATTGTTTCATGCAATAATAGGCAATTCATTGTTGGTGACAGTGTTAAAGGTTAATTGGTATTTAATGAAAGGGACATGTATAAGCAATCCAGAAGTTGCCATTGGGAAAATAGATTTATAATACATCTCTACATGTTTAATGGGATGCATGACTTCATTTAAGTCAATGTGTATGCTAAGGGGTTATCCAGCTTCTATACCTTTTAGGGATATTTTATTTTCTCGAGGCTAGTAGGAATGGTTATATTCCCAAAGAACTGATGTTCAAGATTGAAATCAGCTGTAATAAAGTTGGTTTGATTTAGTGTAGTAGTACAGTTTTTGCAGATACTGAGCTCATGCACTTGGATTTTATGAGACCATCATTCTCAGGGACCAAGAGCTGCTTACTGATTTCTCAAGCAGGGGGAAAGCTCTAACTCAGTTATATGCACATGCTTTGCTTACAAAAACTGCCAGATGTTATGCTTGACATCTCAGAGTTAGCTTATGTGCAACCCAGCAGAATGACTGACTGTCACTCTACTACTGACAGTATTAAGTAGGTAGGGTAACCCTGGCCTATATGATTTGACTGAAAAATCTGACTATACCTACTCTGTGTGTGTGTGTGTGTGTACACACACAGAGAGAGAGAGAGAGATATTTAAAATTAAAATGTAAGGTACATTTTTTTATTATTAAAAGTTTTATAAAAATTACAGTATAAACCTCCATACCCACCCCAAAACCCCACCCTCCCCCTCCCCCACTTCCCAGAGCTGAACACAGGGTTACAAATATAATAATCAAAATCTATCTAACATTAACCATCTATTAAAATAACCAAGTCCATAATACGCTTTAACTCCCCTTTAACACAAATTTAAACAAATTAAAGTTAAACACAATAATAAACATATTCATAACCTAAATATTAAACAATACCATACTAATATTAAAAATAATAATATCATATAATTAAAACTAACAAAAATTCCATTAAAATAAACTATTAATAATAACAATATTCTAGAGTTTACTCATAACCCAAATGAAACTTTTAACATTTTTAACCATATGCCGGTGATGGGTCAAATAAATTTGTTTCAGGAAAGGATCCAGTTCATGTGCGCTCATAGTAGGCAGTCAGCTTTCCTTGTGCATTTATCTGAATGGATAATTCAGGGTGGGACTTCGGGCTATGCTAGAGATGGCTTAGAATTGCAGGTTTTCCATCTATTTTTGGAAATAACTGGCCAGAGTTCATAAATAAGATAGCCATATAATTTTTCTAAGTAAATGCCTAACAACAAGGGAAATCAAACATACACCACATTTTGTATGACACACCTTAATGGAGTATTAAATGCACAAAATGATAAGCATGAACAAGATTTATAAACCTGGTCAGATTGCTACTTGATATGCCCTCTGCTTCTAACCCGGATCTGACCCAGAACATCCCCCGATACCCATGCTTTTTCCAGAATGGGGATGTTCTTCAAAGTTATAGCAACTACTCCTTTATGTTCTGGGTAAAACAAGAGGATAGGGAACCTGCTGGGTATCGATATGCATCCTAGCCTGAGTGAATATTCTTGCCTTTTGTTTGTTACCTCGTATGAGTCATTGTCACTGAGTCTATTCTTTGGTTTGTTATTTCTTGCTCTGCAGGTCAAGAGTAAAACTGGAGAGCCTTGAAGATGCTTACATATTGAGAGGAAATGACGACTCCCTTTCTGACAAGCACGGATGTCCAGCCTACGTGAGCCCAGAAATCCTGAACACAAATGGCAGCTACTCCGGCAAAGCAGCGGACGTGTGGAGTCTAGGCGTCATGCTGTACACAATGCTAGTTGGACGCTATCCATTTCATGACATTGAACCGAGTTCTCTCTTCAGTAAAATCCGCCGTGGGCAGTTCAGCATTCCAGAGACTTTGTCCCCCAAGGCGAAATGCCTTATACGTAGCATCCTGCGCCGAGAGCCCTCAGAGAGGCTGACTTCGCAGGAAATTCTGGACCACCCTTGGTTTTCCACAGATTTTAATGTGTGTAATTCAGGATATGGTGCTAAGGAAGTAACAGATCAGCTGGTGCCTGATGTTAACATGGAAGAGGATTCTGATCCATTCTTTAACTAAGTGTCAGGACTGATAAGGGTAATGCATGGTCCAGAAAGGACAACGTGAAGGGAGACCTTTCTGAAAATGCAGAATTATATCTCTGTCTCATCCTGGCTTGATAGCAAAAAAAAGGACCCACTTGGAGGAAGCTTTTGTTTTGTTTTGTTTTTAAGGCTGGAGAGGGAACGTTCAAGAAACCAATGTAGCCTGTGAACGGTTAGACAGGAAGAATTGTTGCTATCAAGTTAGACTGACAGAGGGGAAAAAAAAGGAGAAGGCAGCAGCACGAAGCAGCTTTGCTTCTCATCTTTATGGAGCCAAGGACACCGCACACCCAACGTTTCCGATGCAGCCACCAGTACACCACTCCTGATCCCATTTCATTCAAACACTTAACGATTCCCAGTGGATAGGAACTCTTGCATTTTGGCATCGCACTGTTAGATATTTAACTTCAGCCATTATTCAGGGAAGGTACAATTAGCTATTATTTTGTTCCTTTGTTTCCTGTTTTCAGAATCTAATGTTGCCGGTGGCCTTCATCTTCAGGAGGGCGGGTGGGAAGCGCACAAAGGACGATATGAGAAGTGAATGCTAAACAAGGTTTTGGAACATATCTCTGGATTCCTAGTTTTAAGTTGACAGATATAATGTTAACATTTTTTGGGAAGGCGGGAGTAAATGATGTTTGGAATGTTTTATTTCTTTGGAGGGAAAAATTCTCTCCTAATCGGTTGTATTCAGATATTCTCCTGATCAAAACCTACAGAAGATTCTTTGATCTAGTGAGGGCTTCTCTGCATGACAAAACGAGTTTGCTGAGGGAAACTGTTTGCTGAGTTTGCCACTTGAGGAGACACTCCTGAGAAATTATACAAGAAACTACACACAGTAGAATAAATCTGTAGCGATGACCCTCCCCATCGTCTATCCATAGCAGTTTCCACTGGATCAAAGAGCTTTCTGTAAGCAGAGTAGATTCAGTTGAATACAAGCCATTGGTTTTGGTGGGCTTGTTTTTGGGTTAGAGCTTTTATTGCAGGGAGCCAGAAGTCAGACTTTTTCACCATGCAGTCAAAAGACTATAGAATTGTCTTCTTTGGTTTGCCAAGGACTGTTGACATACTGGCTTTCACTTTAACCCACTACACATAAAGTTGACCAGGTGGGGCGAGAAGGATCACCTTTGGATTATTTCAAGAAGGAAACAAATTTGTTAGAACTGGCTAAGCCTCTACATGTCCTGAATATGAACAGAAAGTGGATCTTTCTGAAGTAAGAAGTATGTGCCACCTGCCTCTGCCCCGAATATCTTGGTAGGGCAGTGGCTTAGGTTCTCTTGCTTTCATTTTTGACTTACAACAAGGATGCTCTTTTATTTTTCTGTTATTCACCTGTTAATAAGCTGAACATTGCTGGGACACAGACCTGTCTCCTGAAAAGTACATTGTAATATGCACCTTTTTTATTGTCAGGATTTTATTTATTGATGAATCTGTCACAGTTGTGATGAATTTAAGCCAGTACTTCAATTACGGGTTGACTTGGGGTGACATGTTACATGCTGTAGTTAACAAACTTGTATTTCTCTTCAGGTATTCCTGTCCCTGACTGACATATTTTAACTCCCCCCCTCGTCCCCCTTTCCTCCTGCAGTTCCACCCCTTTGTTAAAGCTTTCATGTTGATTTAGACTGGCAAATGATTTTTATTACTGCTTTTATATTGCTATATGACATTGGAGGAAACAGCAGAAAACCAACACATCTTTTTTTGGGCATAGATATTTGTGTTTCCAGTACCTCAGCTGTTCTGATGTTACTGCCTGTATGCGTTTTTGTGAAGTGGTCCTGTTTTTTGGATAGGTACATGTGGACTCTGTAGTTTGTAAATGTTACTTGAATTTTGTGCTTAACTATAGTCTGTGGCATGTGCGTACAGCTACTTGGCATTTGACGTATGAATGCTCTTCGCCTGCCCTGCGGGAAGGTTTTGATCCCACTCGCCGAGATGATGGTTCAGAGTTCCTTATCAAGAGACAAAACTGCAGCTGACCTGCCTTGCTTCTATTTTGGTATCTAAGAATATAAAAGAGTAACGTTTTTACACTCTGAAGATGGTGCTGTGTTGAGGGATTTCTTCTTCTGTTTTTTTTTTTTAAGCATTTATTTTATAAACTCGTAGGAAGAAAGGTTGGTGATGTGCATGGTGGGATTTTACTGCCTCTGGTGCTTTGTCTTGTATTTGGTTTAATGTTTTTTGTCCTAATCTCTTCAATAAACAAAATTGTGCATATTTAACTAAACTTAACTTGTGATGGCTTTTTTCTCCCCCCCCCCTTTCCAATCCTACACCAGCCGTGGCTAACTTCAGGGAAAACATTGCTTGTTGTCTATTTTTAGGATAAATATTTATTAAATTTATATGCAGCCCATTATACTACTAAGTGACTCAGAACATCATGTAACATGTAAAACAATTAGAATGTTAAAAATATTTAAAAAATGGAGCATTAAAAGTTAAAACATTAAAATTAACAGCAGTGGATTTTAAAAAGACCAAATAGGCTAGAGGGGAGGGAATCGTCTTCTAATCTGCTAACCACCTCCAGAATGAGATGTCCCCCTTAGGGCCCCATATGTTTACCCCATGTTTGTTTGAAATTCTGTCTCATTTGATTTCTTTCTTACCTAGGCAAGATTCTTTCAGCCTAGAGGTATCACCCAAGGAACTAATCAATATTTTCATTAAGATAGGTGTGGATGGCCCAGATGACCAATTTGCCACAGCTAACTTGCCACAAGCAACTCACCACGGCCAATTCATCATAGGACAACTCACTGTGGAACAATTTAATTTTATTATTTCAAGTAATTTAAAAATTATTATAATTTTTGTCATTCACATTTCATTTTGTCCCTCCTTTGGCATCCTTTTATTATATTCCACCATTTCTTCAATATTAGTTTAACTCTTGTTCTGCAGCAAATTGTCCCGCGGCGAGTTGTCCAAAACCCGTGGATGACAACCCCATACATTATATTTGTCTGTATTATGTTACATTAAATTCAGATAGTTTTTCCTTCTATATAAATGTGTCAATGGGACATAAAAGTATGACTGGATGATGCCATTACCGGTAGCCCTCTGTATCATGTCAATTTAGTTCTTGAATACTCAACAAAAGATAACTGTAGACAAGTAGAACAATATTAAACCATGCACTTTGCAAATTCTTGAAAATACAAGGGAAATTTGTTCCAAATCTTGGAAAGCCAGGATCAATCCCTGAGTTAACTGGATTGATGGCTCTGTTCCATGTAACTTAATCTACCTGTAAGCTGAGTGTGTTCAGCCTGTGGTTCATTAAGCAATTTTCTGCCCTGCTTGAAGGACTTCAATTGCTATGGCCAATCCTGCTGCGATACCACTAGCAAGAGTGAAGTCAATATTATTGGACTATATTTAGTGTTAAGGGGCTTAGGGAGAATACGGAGAAAAATCAGGACTTTAAAGAGGCTTAAGATACCCATTTTGTGGTTTAAAGCCGCCTAATGGGAAATAGCTGCTCTTCCTTGGAGAAGGACTTAAGTTTAAAGAGTTTAAATTTATAGTACTTTCAGTCTACAGGTTCATAGCATTCATTTAACCCTTTAATGAGCCCACCACAATGCAAAAATAGGCTCTAAAAACATTGGCTTTACCTATCCTGGACTGCAACTGAGGTATTTGGGGTGGAACCAAACCTGTGGGACACCTTGACTATAAACTTCAAAACCCACGTTGTCCTTAAGTCGCACTTAATAACACAATAGATGTACTGGATATTTCTACATAAAACAATGTTTTATGAGATTAAAACCTACTTCAAGATGTGGATATTTGGAACTCCATCCCTTGGGGTATGGTAGTCACGTGACTGCATTTTGGTTTCTTGGCAAATGGTCCCTATTGAAAAAGAGTTCGAAAATTTTATAATAAAGCTTAAACCGCCGCTTTAGGGGAGGGGGGGAACCAAAAACCCCTTCTCCCTCAAGCTTCCAGCTTCAGCTCAAAGGCAGGCAATTTATTTCAAAAGGTCCAGTTTGCCATAAATATTGAAGTTCGTGGTTTTGGGGTGGATTTCCATCAGTACGCTGACGATACTCAGCTGTACATTTCCACCCCAGACCACCCCAACGTTGCCCTTAACGTGATGGCCCGTTGCCTGGAGGCCGTACGGGTCTGGATGGGGAGGAACAGACTCAGGCTCAACCCTTCCAAGACCGAGTGGCTGTGGTTGCCAGCGCCTCGGCATAGTCAGCTGACACCATCGCTGACTATAGGGGGCGAAACTTTGGCCCCCTCGGAGAGGGCGCGCAACTTGGGAGTCCTCCTGGATTCGCG